AGTTCTGGGCTGCCCCTGTCCCCCTCCAGAATGGAGGGGCGAAGCTGAAGGAGCGGGGACCTGAGGGACCTGACGGCCCTGGGTGAGGCCCTGGAAGGCTGTCATTGGTCTCCTCGCCCTTCCCCTTCTGGCATCGACTCAGACGGTGCAGAGCCAGCACGTCCTGGTCACTTTCCAAGTGCTGATGACCCCCCAAAATGCAAGGGGCCACCCGGGCGCCTCGGCGCTGTCACCCCTCTCCGTCAGGGAGGACCCGCTCCCCTTCTCTTGCGGCGCCATTTTGTGGCGTTCCTCCGCAGCCCCTGTGGTATCCCGCAGGATGGGGTTTTTCCCCCACCATTTTGACAGAAATCAGTTTAATTTTTAAATCCCGGGAATTTAGGGAATAATCTGCAGCAATATCCTTTTGTTTGGTATGTGGCCGACTAAGTACAATGTGGCAGTCCAGCAGATTTTTGGCTTTCTGAGGCTTGACAGGCACGTCGGTAGCTGGTAATGAAGGCGCGGTGCATAATGCGCGTTAAAACATAAGTGTTAGAAACCGGGGCTTCGCAAATGAAGAGCCCTGCAATTACGTTGACTCACATGTAATACCTAGAATGGTCACCAGTCAGAAAAAAAGGCTTCGGTGATGTTAGAAACAGTGAAAACAGCGGCGGGTTTCCAAAAAGATGGCACATCCTCTCCTTGAAGGGAGGGTTCAGATCTCCTCACAGGATTCCTAAAACAGGGCTGAGGAAGAGGGGCAGAGTGACAGAAACAGCACCAGGAGAGGGGCTTTAAAAAAAAAACAAAAAAAACCCCCAAAAACCAAAACCAAACAGAAATTGAAAGTTCATCTAGAAATGTGAACTCTACTGAATTTCAAGAAGAATCAAATAACCAGTCGCTAAAGAGAGTCGTAAACGGTAATGAATAGCACAGGAGAGATACGGTGTGCTCTCAAAAGAGCCCTGCGAGAATGGAAATTATTTATATAAAGCCAACAGAAATTAATACTCTTGCACAGCTGACAATGGGTAGAATTGAGTTTTTGATTTCAAGGAAGAAGTTTACCTCATAGATTACAGGTATTTTTCACCTTTTAGTGAAGAATCTAGCAGTGGCTGTTATAAAATGAGATACGAAGCCAACTGCTGTAACTCTGCGAACTCTGCATTAATGTTGGTATTATAATAATGGCTAGAGACTACATCAGGCAGTTTGTTTGTGGTTTCTGTACTCACTGGAATCATTACTCACTGCAAAATACATGAGATTTTATTGCCACAATTGAATTCCATATAATTACAATAATGTGGTACAAAATTACAAGATGAATAATAGTATTTTTCTCCTGGCAGCGTTCTGAATAACACCCTTAGAAATAATATATGCGGCTTGAAGCTGTTTTACCCATTGCTATGTATTGCATATTTCTCTTTAAAAAAACCCCGAGCCCCATATGAGAACATCTTCTGAATTTGCCATCCAGAGTTGGTTAATGGTTCGATGCTACTTTTCTCCAGTAGGACCAAGAAGCAATCTTTTCTGCGGTCATATTCTAGAAGTTATCAATTGTCCAAAACTTAGAGGTCTTTGGTTTCAGGCTAGTGGTAACTACTGTTTTTAAAATCTACAAACATCCTATAGATTACCAGTGCAATTGCATGTCTCAGCTCTTTCTACTAGTGACACGTCCCCTTAGTTCACAACACAGAATAGCTTTTGTCATTTGCAGTTATGTTGCTTCATTTTAACAGTATCTAGAATAGCAGGTGTTTTAAGTATGCATGCTTTCAGAAGCACTGTCATTTTCTGCAACTTTAAACCTTACTTACATTGTGTTGTAAAATTCCAAAAAAAAAAACAAACCCCCAAAAAACAAAACCACTCACTTTAGTTCTGTTTCTCTCTTTTACAAAAGCATGCAAAAGATTAAATTAATCATAACTGCCTTAGAGACTAGATGATGGAATAGTGTGTATCTTAATAATAAACAGTACAGTCTGCTCTATTGGTGAGCTTTTGCTGTGATTCGTAAACCAACGAATATAAATTCTTTGCTATTCAAAGTAGTGGTTGTTTTCATTTTGCATTCATCTCCGTACCTTCTGTGTACACCCCAATGTCTTGCAGTTTTTATGGGAACTGTCTGGGCATCAGCTAACAAACACTGTTCAGCTGTTTCTAGAGAACAGATTTTTATTATATGCTCCAAACTATTTTTTGCATCCAAAGGAATTAGTCTTTTTTTTTTTTTTTTTCACATCGCGTAAAAGTAAAATGTTCTGCATTGACCCGTGGCTTGAGGTAGTATTTGTTAGTATTTCTCTTAGTATTTTAAAAAAATGTTTGTTTGCTGTCTTAAGTGTTTCCAGGCACAAGGAACTAGGGTTCCAAGCTTTTAAATACAGTCGGTAAATCTGTTAGCTCTTTCTCAGAGCTTTTATCACAGCCTATACTAATCCAGTCACTTGGATTAGGTGTTCTGTTCCTCACTTAACTATTAGGCAAATTCATTTCTGTCAAACATCCAGCATTTTAAACGCTCTCCCTGCCCCCTCCCCTTTCCACAGTGCTATAGTATGCAGCCTTAATGCCACTTTAGTTAAATTCTGCAGTTGTTTTCTATTCCACTTTATCCTGGATTAAGATCTCATCCTCATCACCAATTTGCTGTGGCTTTACTTTTTACACAATACTAAGGGTACGGGTAAGCAAGCCATTGTTGCACAGTTAAGTATCAGATAACTTTGCTTAATGTATCTCTGAGCTAACTAGCTGTATTCAGTACGTTCTGATAAAATGGTGATTGCATCCTTTTGAGAAGACTACGTGACTCCCAAACTGTTTAAAAACCCATAGCTGAATTTCTGCACATAGCACCACTACGCAATCAGAAGAATGGATTTGTAATAATCTGCTTTCCATTCTGTGAGTTCTGTCTCTAATCGCACTTACACATACACTTCCCGATTTAAAAGTCCTTTGCAATTACTGCAGGAGGAGGGTACAGAATGGATAAGTAGCTTTTCCATTACCAACGGTGCAGTCGATAGGCTTAGTAAACCAGCTGGAGTAGCGGCTACACATTTTGTACACAAGTATATTTTCCTGCATTCTTCATGCCTTCTGAGAACACGAAGCCTCTCAAAGATAGAACTGCTGCAGGAAAAGAGCTTTACCTAAATGATACACCTCCCTTTTTCCTAACTGTAATTTACACTTTCAATGAGTCCATTACCACTATCAGTGAGAAACTTGGTTCCACTAAAGTGGTTTAGGTAGTTATTTAAATGCAGTTAAAACTTTTTTCCCCTCCCTTTTATCCTAAAATGCATGGTTTTGTCTTGCAGTTTATTGTATCAATAAAGCTTTTGACTGTGTAAATCTTTGAATTGCATTTTTCTTTTGTAGTTTACACCATGAGTGACAGGCTTCTGAACAACTTAGACAAACTTCTGCTCAAGTTTGGTAGGTCATGATATCATATATTTTAAAATTAATAATTACTAATGCAGTACATATAGTGAAGTTGTCTGCTTTAAACAATGGTATTAACTTCAAATAAATTTATAATATTAAGTTTTTGCTGTTTGCCTACATAATATTTTGTTAGCTGTGAGGTAATGGAGAGGGGTGCTGACAGCTATTTAATAGTGAAATTGCTCTTTAGGTATTTTGTTAAAATCTTTGTTAATCAGTATTTGTGAAATTAATGCTGCACAACATACATTTGTTTCACAGCTCGACTCATATATATATATATGTATGTATACAAAAAAGTGTTCATTTTCTTCTTAGTTTTCCAGCTACAACAAACTTCTAATGCTAAGGAACATGTGAACCAACAGATAAATTGTGAGTAGTGATAAATTATCATTTTATAGACACTGAACACACTGCTTTTGTTTCGTTATTCCTGGTACATGTTCTGTGCTTCAGGGGCGGAAGCAAACCTAATAATGAAAGCTGTCCCGTGTCCTGCTCTCACCCTGCCTCATCTTTTGCCATCAATACTTGCTCATTCTCCCTAGCAGACTTTGCTTTTGCTTTCGACTTTTAGCTAATGCTGTTCAGCTGTCTCATGGACAGCCAGTTTCATGCTGAGCCATTTCCTGCTCTTACTCTGTAGCTCCTCACAGTCACTGGCAGTTCTTTGATTCAGCTGTGCTTGCTCAATACATCTGCCACTTGCCTCCCTTTCTTTCTTCGTGTTTTTTGTTCTTTCCAGATTGGGACCTCTGCCTCACTGCTTCTTCTCTCTTTCTGTTTTCTTATAATGGAAGTTCTCTCAGTTGCTACTACCTACTCAAGCCTGGTTCTTCTTTTCTGCAATCAGGCAGCTGGTAACTTTATTTGAAATTCAAACCAGTAAACCCAATGAGAAAGTCTTGCTCCACATCAAATTCATTTTTCCCATGGACTAACAGACAGCATAATATTATGGAATTAGGTCTAGACAGATTTTTTTTTTTTTTTTTTTTTTTTTTTACCAATAGATTGTCAATATTAATTTGAAGCATCTTAAACATTAAAACATTTGTAACACTAAATCTGGTACACCTAGAATTTCGTTTAACTCTTCAGTCACATAACTGAACCTTAGAGATGAGGTTTTTCTTAACATTCATGCAATCTTACAGTTAAATGAGCATGCTTTCAGGGAAAATCCAAATGTCCTGCAGAAACATGGCATAGGTATTTGCGTGTTCGGTTCAGAGATATCTAAACACATGTGAACTCACTATCAACACTCAGACTTTTAAAAGTTTGGGTTAAATCCTTCTAAAACTTACTCAGAAATAGTTCCACTGATTTAGTTTTGTCACTGTGTGAGTATTATTTGGCAGAGGAACAGCTGTAGCATTCAGCCTCGTACTTTTAGTGTGAGATTCATCAGGCTTTTTGGCTAGAGTCCCTTTATAACCAGTGGAAGGAAGTACGCACTTTTAGGGTGTGATTTATCTTATCGTGAGAAAAGAGTTTAAAGTAGTTTAGATAAAGTAAGCTTTAAAAAATGCCCCTTTGTCTCTGCTGAGTGTAGCTGGAACCAGGGGTGTCTAGTTCTGGAGTAGAACCCTGCACTGTAAAGTTGGTGAGATGGATCTCATCCACAAGATCTTGGTTCCACAAGCAAAGGGCGTGTAGAACAATTCATATTTGTCTCAGAAGTGCTCATCTATAGAAAATACTAAATTAAATGTTAAGTGTATAGCTTTGCTTATGTAATAGGTATTTTGTTAATATAGTTATGTTAGACCTTGGTAAATCTCAAAATGTCCCCTGCAGGCTACTTCCGAATACACCTGTCTTTTCACAGAGATTAAGCATATGCCAGTTGTCCAATAGTTATTCTTCATGCTAAGAAAAGGCAAGTTATTGACTTAAGATATTGAAAATATTAAGATACTGAAGATATTTGGGATAACTCAAGATATTAAAATAAACTAAGAATCTTTTGCTTTTCACTGACTGATATTTCTCTCTGAGAAGCATTATTTTCTGGTCTAAGTGCAGCTGGCATTGAAAATGAATATACAGCAAGACTGCAAAACCAGACCCAAACTTCAGGATGACCTGCAGTTCTAGAGCAGTAATTCAAACAAGTCAAGACACATCTCACATAACTAAGATGCCCTTCACATGTAAAGCAGATGAAAATGACAGGATATCTGTGATCAACTTATCTTTATGGCCACCAACTTTGGCATACAGCATCTTGGGGCAGCAGTGATGGCAAGGGATGATTTGGGACGAATGAATCTGAAACCTTGTATGAAAGAATAAGAAATAAACAGTACAGAGAAAACAATATTCACCCAGGTGTACACGCATGACAGCTCTGACAGCTTTCACTTGTGAAAGATGACACTGATCATGTTCAGCAATATGGGTTCTCTACTAATCACTCATTCAGAAAATGTTGTCAGCTGTAGGCTGTTAGAAAAGTTAGAATCAAGAATCTGCCTTAAGGATCTCCACAAATATCATAGAGCTTGAGGGTTTGTCTTTATAATGAATGTTTATAACTAATTAGCCTCTCTCTCCTATATTAATTTATTGTACATTACACATTTCCACCTGAAGTAAATAAATTTTTGAAATTTTAATTTCTCTGTTTCTTTGTTTAGTAATAATAAGCTTATATGCCTTTAGTGATGTTTTGATGTTTTTCTTTTTCCATTCTTGTAGTCAGATTTCCCATTCAAAACATTTGTGTTTCTGGACTTCTGTAAAAGAAAACAAATGTTTGAAAGAGACCTTTATCTCAAGCAACTTTTGTACTCCAATCAGTCTTGCCAGTTGCAAGCATTACCAAGGACAAAGTGGCTTGCACTCTGGTTTCCTTCTATACTTGTCTTAGTATCTGCAGACACCATGGGCTGCAAAAAAAAGAAGGGTCAGCTCTAACTGTTGAGTGCTTTGATTTCTACCACTAACAGTCACTTCAGTTTTATGTGGACTGGGATGCACAAACAGCACAAATACATTTTTTTTTTTCTTCCAAAGTCAGTGTCACAATATTAGATGATAATGAAGGTATTTGCCACACAGCTGAAACTCCTTAAGTTTTTGGCTTGCTTTGTTGCTTTGCTTAGTTGCAGGCTGTCCACTCATCTGGCACTATTGAGATTAAGTGTGCTGGAAGAAAATTGGAATAATTCTGAATGTAGACTTTTAATTTCATGTGTATGTTGAAAATATATATGCTTACTTTTTTAATTTTAATTTTTAATTGTAGTGTATACCACAAAAATAATGGAAAAGAAGAATGAAATTGCTAGGTTGCAGGAAAATATAAATAACAGCAATGAAGCAATTGCTGATTTGCACAAGCAAAATGCAAGTAGTAAGGAGAGCTGCAAGGTGTAAGTATAATATAGCCTGAACTTTAAGAAAGTCAGTGAGGAAGCAGTGTAAAAATATACATGTATGTGCACGTCCAGACAGGAGGGATGTTAAAGAAAACTTCAGTATTGTTTTATTTTTTTCAAGCTGCAAATCATCAGGTACAAAAATTACGTATTATCCATCCCCTGAAGAAGTAAATTATTGAAAAACTGGCTACGTTTAAGTTTGTTTTAGTTTTTTAATAGAATCAACAGTTGTCAGAGATCACATTACTTTTTGTTCTTACCATATTCTCTCCTAATATGCATCCTAATTGCCCCTACATACTGATATATTTGTATTTTTACTAGCAGATTTTGGTATAATTTTTACTGCTGGCTGCAAAACTGTTCTTCTAGGCACACTGTTTTAAGGGCTGCTGTTCAGTTTTCTTCATATAAGTTTTTCTGTCAGATTACTAGTGTAAGTTTTAAATGCAGATTATTTTTGGATCTTAGTAATTTAAAATTTCTCAAGCAAGAAGTTATTTCTTACTGACACAGAACGTATAATTTTTTAAAATGGAAATTTCGAGTGTTTGCAAGGGTAACTAAAAAAGCAAATCTGTATTTGACAACAGAGAGAATTTGGCCCAGATACAATCCTATCTTTTTGTTGCAGCATTCATCTCTCTGCAATCTGTTCAGTTCCTTGTCAGCTGAAGTGATGATTTGTCAGCAAATTCTATCCTTCTGATTTTCTTGCAGTTTTTTTCTGTACATGAATGGATAATGTGGGTGTTTCTAAGAATGAAAAGAGAAGTAAAGATAGCATCAGGGTCCTTCCTAGATTTATTTTGAACTATCTGAGAACAGAAGAAAGAATGGAATCATTAGTGAATGAAATGGGTATAGTGGCTTGCTGTTTGAATTAATTGCCATACCATACTCATTTGTAGCTTTATCATAAAAAGAGTTAAGAAAAGATTTGTCCTTGACAAGAAAATACCGGCTCTCCTTTACACTAAATTCTTGCCTCGAGTGCAGTATAAAATGAACACTTTTGTAAGTTTCTGAAACCGTTCACACAACTTCCTTAGATATCTTTTGAAGTTGCGAATCTGTTTGCAAATCACAAACTGTTAAGTGATGTAAATAAAGAAATAAAAAATTAAAGGTAGAACTAAGGATCTGATCTAAATCTTAATCATTGAATTAAATGGGTTTTGGCTCAGGTCCTACAAAGAATAATTAATGGCATTAGTGTAAAGAAACTGAAAATGAGAAGTGACTCATTAATGAATACATGTATTCATAGAAAGACAATGCTTGCAGAAGTGTAGAGACTTTGTGTCTTAAATAACTGAAAATGTCATTTAACGACATACTGAAAACTGTGATAAACAAGCCCTAGCTATAAGATCAGACAATTAGAGTACTTATGTAATAAAATAATCTTAAATTTCTAAAAATTATTCTAGTTGATACTCCATACATGCTGGACATGATTCTAATGTTGATTTTGTAAATTCAAATGTTGTTTTAGAGTCACAATCACCCTCATAGTTGACTAATTGCCAGTAATACTCAATAGAACTCTCAAAAAATCAGCTTTTTGTTTAGATTACTAGACATTGTAAGTATATTGAAGCATGTTTGGAGACTGAACAAAATACGAGATTCTTATATTCAACATGTCTACAGAAGATATATGAGACAGGAGTATGGGGACACCACTGTGTTTTCTAAAGAAATGTGTATTGCTCTGTGTAACAAAGGACTGAAGGCAGAAAATGACCAAAATGAAATATATATTTTTACACAAGTGATGACATTTTTCTAATGTTTAGTTTCTTTAATGTTTCAAACTCAAAATTTTGATCCCAGAACAATAAGAAGTGATGAAATACTGCTGGTGGAACCTATCCTGTTTTTATTGTTTCTCTTATATTTTTAAATTTGGGTTTAAGGATCATGCCATTTCATGCAAACAATGATATTTTTAAAAAGCCAGATAAACTCAGAATGTTGCTAATGTGGAAATGAAATTGTCTTGTCCCACTAGCTAAACTGCAGGATATTTTTTTCATTGCTTTCAGGTTAGTGTGGATAAAGATTTTTTTATACACTAGCTGATGAAAGGAAGGACAAATAAATGTGATAGCTACCAAGAACCTCTGCAAAACAGTGATGCATTTAACAAACTAGTAGATGAGCTGCTTGAATCCTGTATACCTCCTTGTGTTTACAAAAGAGTGTTCTTGTACTATTTGGTTTTCGCATGTTCACAGAATAGATAGGAACACAAAAATATAATGCAGAACATGGTTTGTGCTTTGATTAATAAAGGCTCTATGACTTTTTCATGGCTTGTTTTTTTTGTGTGTGGTTTTTATTTTTTTTTTTTTTTCCCCCCTCCAAAGAAAGGCATGGAGTTTTCCCGAGTAGAAGAAGATCACACTGTTTGTGTGCAAGTACATTTTTATCTATGTATACAAGTATGTTGGTTTCTACTTTTTAAAAAATCTGACCCTTTAAAAATTCAACTTTCTGCCGAATTTGCAGTAAATATGGTGAAGTAGCATTTTGTAATTACATTTTTAATCACCAGCAGTGTCAGTTTGTGCCAATAGTGCTAAATTTCCTGAATGGATGCTGCAATTTCTCATTCAGCCTTTTTGCTGACAAACTTTACTGCTGTTATAAATGTTGATTATACGCTGTGTTGTCTCATCACCTGGAGTACATTACTTTTTTGTTCAAGGCTATTGGGCTTCAGTTCAGCAAATTAATTGTCAAGTCTTTGGTCTTCATTTATTTCCTTGGTGGAAATTACATTGTTAGCTGTTACTGAAGCCTCTATTTTATTCCACCTTTGGAGTGATTGTCCAAATGCACATACTTTGTGTGACTGCATGCTACATATCCTCCAGTTTTGAACCATGGGGCATACCTCCTCCATGGCTGTCACCTGTCCAGTAAAGAATTATTTGATTTGTTCAACTGCAGCCTTGTTCTGTATAGCCATTTCTCCCCTCCTCCTTGTTGGTCTATCTCTTTAAATGTAACTGTATCCCTCCCGTTCCAAATTCACTTGGTCTCTTCAGTCCTTATGGATTTTTCCTTGTTCTATTTCTTCAGCTTTGATAGAATCTATGTGTGTGTTCCTGAAGTTAGGTTTTGTGTGTACATCTCCTAGGACAGAGAGTTCCACTCAGACTTCGTTGTAGGTATTTGTGTTGCCTTAGGGTAGCTTGTATTCCGCACAAAAGCTCAATTTTTAGATGACCTTAACCCCTGACTAGAGAACGGTCGTGCTAATTTTTTCTGTTGAAGGTTCCCTAGGGGGTGGGCATGTGATTTGATTTTTTTCCCCTCCCCCCCCACTGGAAATAATATCTCTGTCCTACTCCAGCCCAGGCTGTTCCGATGATTCAGCCATCATCTGAATCTCAGCTCCCAGCATCTCAGAAGGTGCCTTTTGACAACCTGTCATTACAGAGATTATTCACTGCAAATGAGCAGAGTGTTTGTCAGTAGCACGTGTACCTATTTAGCTCCGTAAACCGAAGCAATTTTTCTGTTCTTTCCCTCAACAAACAACACTTTGGTATGTGTTAGGGTTATTGAAGTCTTACTTGCTGTTTGGAGGCTCTTTGCACCAGCGATTTCCGAATTTGTTTCTCACAGTCTCTAACTGAGCAAGATCCTGGCCATTTGTTCTCTGAAATGTTCTCTGAAAACGTCTTTTCTGATATCTGTTACCTCAGCTGGGAGGGTAGGAGGCATCCAGTCCTGGATAGCTTGTGGTCCTTACACCATTTTTTCCAGGCAGGATGCTTTATTTTTAAAGACCCATTATATGCCTCTCCTAAAGTTCACATCTGAATTTCATTTGAATTAGAAAGTTTATCTGCCTGTTTTCTAGAGTTCCCATATCCAAGGAAGAGGCATCTCTAACAGCTGGATGTTGAGAAAGTACTATTAGTTTACTACTCGTAAGTCCTTCATGTGTTCCCTGAAGTTGCTGTGATTTCAGTACAATCTACAGCATCCTGCTGGAAGAAAATCACTTTGGCGATCTGCATTATAGGTCTTTACATTACAGGAGGCTCCTGAAATGAGAAGAACAAAAAAATGGATGAATTCTGTTTCAGGGCTGTAGGGGAACCACACAAGAGGAGATCCAGGCTGAGCATTACAGAATGTGGACCCATCAGTTTGCTGTAGAGGAATCTAGTTATGAGCTGGGTAGGAGCCACTCAGCACCTCTTGTCTGGAGACAGGTTTCTGGAACGGACACATTTAACAACACAGACATCCTAGATAGCCAGATACCAATTGCATGAAATATGAAATATATGTGAATGATGACTTAGAGATGGAAAAGGATGTTACTTGACAGCAACTGAAGTTCAGTTCTTGTTTGCCATTAAATTGTTATCAACTATTAGCTGGCGTGTGTTCCTGTAGGGGCACAGTTTGAGTTCAAATCTAGTTAGTAAGAGGTTGTATGTGGACCATCTCCAACAGGAAGACAGTTCATACCTAAATGATTTACTGATGATGCTGTTCTGAGTACCTAATATGTGCATTGAGATGCCTAGCTGCTTACCATTAGGCTTCAAAAATTTGTGAAGCTCACTCTGTTGAAGTGCTTTATAATCTTTGCTAATCCTGTACGTATATTCTTGAATTGTCAGCTTTAAAATCTTAAGAAAATAAATGTATGCATGTGAAAGCTTTGAAAGCTTTCTGTACTAAAAGTATTTCTGTTTGACTTTCAAAACGTGAAGTGAATTATTTGTCCTAGTAAGCTATCTAAAGTAACTTGATGTCTTCATTTCTGAATGGCTTTTTATTAGTAAAGAACACTTACATGCTTTCTTTTTTTTTTTTTTTTTTTTTTTTTTTTTTTTTTTTTACTTTCTCCACAGCTGGAAACCCACCTATGTAATTCTTAGCAAGCATGAAGAATATTTGAAAAATGAACTTGAAGCTTTAAAAGAAGCTACAGAAAATGAGAGGTATCTATGATCATGTGAGATGGGGTTTCTAGCAGTAGTGCTTATTAACCTTCCTAAATTGATCAGCAAAGATAGTGTAGTCTGCATCAAAAAGTTGTTGTAAACTTTTCAGGATAAGAAAAGTGACTAATTAAAAGATTTTTCAGTTTATATTATTATGAAGTCATACGTTATTTTGTAGTTGTCAGTGGAATACGATAAAGTATGTGGCTTCTTCAAATTCAGTTACTTCCCCAATGCCTATTATAATTTTTCAAAACATTCTCCAATTGCCTACAATTTCAAGAAAAGCCCCAAAAATAAAGGCAATGAATGTTTCAGCTTTGGCAGAAATATGAAATATCAGAGCATATTTGCAAGACAATACACAAGTTTTATCTATGAATGACTTTTTTACCTTTATTATGACATGGCTTAATGTATACTGTGATTTCAGTAGTTTCAGATATTCAGGTTTGAGAAGACTTTTTTGAAAATACTCAGATTTAATGCTTTGAGTTTTTTTTTTCAGGAGAATCATTTAATTGAATCTAAGCTTTTAAATAGATATATGGACTAAGTAAGATGTCAGAGGCATTCAGATAATTTTATGCTTTTCATTATTTGTGAGTATGAATTGCAGATGATTATTGGAATATACAAATCAAGTTTTTGTATACTGCTGTGTATTCATAAAAATAACTAGAAAGCATGCAAATTCAATATCAGATCCTGAAAAAGTAGGGCAAGTGGTTCAGGAAAGTCTGGTCTAAAACCATATTAGGACCAGTCGTGGGTCAGATTCTAGCCAGTATTAATTGCAAATTCAATTCCGTTCAGTAAGTGGCATTTCAGTTGTTTCAGCTTCATTAATTAGATTCTGCATTTTAAATAAATTATTAGTTGTGCAATGTAAGTGCCTACGTTCAATGGAATAAAGAACAGCCTCTGAAGATTTTAACTAAAATGTTCAAAATGTGGTGTGCCAAGTTAACCCTCTGAAGTTCTACTTAACACTCGGGTAAAACTGATCTTCATTTTAGAGAGGTTGCTCACCTTTACTGGTCTGCTTGTGAAGGGGAAGAGGCTGCTTAGCCCTGTGGTGAAAAAATCATGGCAGATCTACCTAGATATCAAAATACTAATTTAGAGGTGTAACTTCAGGTAATTTAAAATGTTGGCTTTGATTCTTTTGTAAGTGTTCTTTTTGCCAGTTGTCCAGGACAGCAGGAACAGCATACCTGATAGCCTTTAATTAACTCAGTAGCTTATCTGTCTTCCTCCTGTTCAGAGCTCTATATTTGGTGAAAAAATAAGGCTAAATTGGCTTTCTATGAGTATATGATTAAGCCATTTTGGCTTTCACTAATATGAGCTGACAAGCCAAAGAAGCATTACTTTTAAATTGCTTTTTTAGATAACTAGTTTCAATTGCAAAATGAAAGTGTTTGCTCTGTTTTCCTGAGCTTAGTTATAAGACATCAAGACTATAAATCATAAAATACACTTAATTTATTTTACAAAAGTGGTCTTCTCAAATATAGTCCCTCTGTGCTGAAGCATTTGATCATGTATTAAAATCAGCAAGATGTGCATTTGGCAAATTTTAAATATTTAAATTAGGAAGAAAAGCAAGTACATTTAGAACTTCATGCGCAGAATGTGCTTTTTAGCCTGGCATTTGGGACACTGAGGACATAATGCTTCAGATGGGAAGATGTTTTAAAAAGAGAGGAAGATCAGTTTGCATTTAATTAGGCACCTATTATGGAGGTTTTAAAAATGTTCTACATTTTTTTGTTATTGTTGGTTTCAAGAACATACAAGAACACAGTACTGTAATTCATGCTGAAAATACATGATATGAAGACGGAGAGAGGAATAAATAGCTATCTACATAATGTTCAGGGGTTTTGTGGGTGCTGTGATTTTCCCATTGTCATTAGATTAAAATTTTTTCTTATGACTTAAATGTGAACAGTGCTGAATTCTAAATAGCCTATGTTTAACTGTGTGAACTGGAGGATGTGAATTACTTAGGAAAAATATTAAAAATAATGACAATTTCTCAAGACTACTATACTAGACTATATACAGCCATTAATATTAATCTGTGGAAAATACTTTTTGGGAAAACAATATAAAGTTTGAGGATTATTTTCAGAAGCCGGAAATGTACCTGCTACAACAAATTATTTTACTTATTTATATTTTAAAAATTTATTTGTGATAGATTCTTAATTGTATATCAGCAGATTTCCTTGTCGCTCAGTTATTGTTTGTAGCATTTATTAAATTAAATAGAACTGAATACTTTCTATCTTTCATAGCTGTGAAATTTTGTAAGGTGTACATAAATATTCAGTAAATCAAGAAACTTAGATTTCCAAGACCACCTGTGTAGAAACGCAAATAGATAATGCAATTTGCTACATGAAGTTTGGGAAGTCTCAGTTCCTTGGTTTCACAGTGTTGATCTACCAACTTCTCTCCCCTAAACAGGTGGATTGAACTTCAGTCAATTTAACAGGAACTAGTGCTGGAGTGTAGTTTTATATTAAAATTGAGATTTTACTTTTTTTTTTTTTTTTTTTTCCCTGTGACAATAATAAAAAAATGTTTCTTTTGTAAGAGCAGAAACTTCTACTATTGAATTTGGATACAAATTTTTTTCTTTTCCATTGCTCAGCCTAGCCAGTGGGCAGCCAGAAATGTCTGCCTTTCAGTCATCCTGCATTTAGATGGTTAATAGCAGTTTGAGATAAAACATGTTATTTAAAGAGGAATACTGTATGCTTTGCAAGCAGTGAGAGCTGTTCCTTAATGTAGGCCTCATTCAATGTGCAAATAAATAGGTGGGTCTCTGGCTTTAGTATGGCTGGTATGCACTGCAATTTGTTTCGTAAAGGAATTTCTGGCTAATCTACAGGTGCACTAATAATTCAGTATTTTAAAATTTGCCTCTCTCTATTGTTCACATAACCTTTTTCTAGAGGATGACATTTCCTTCACCTGTGATTTTCTATTGGCATATTCTAATATCAAGCAACTTTGTGTAACATTTCTTTCTCAGATAAATGACTAGTCTGTGTTAATGATACGTGCTGGATGTCTGTAGCTGTGATGTCTCTATAAACATGTGCCATGTGCATAAATGCTCAACGTCAGACTCTTATTGTATTTTGAACATGCCTAAATTTATCTTTTCTTCAGAAATAAGAGGCATAGAATATCAACATTTAAAAAAATGATGTATTTTAATTTTATTTTAAGCAGTTACTAAGCTTTTGCTTTCAAATGCAGAGAGAATATTATTACTGAGCACTGGTTGTTATTATTTATAATTTTAAAAACTACTAATAGTTAACTCTTGTCTATGTGGGAAATACGGACTTCTTGCAGATTTATACTTAGATTACCTCTGGGTGACATTAAGAACCAGAACCAACTCCTTGATTGCATTGTTAATTATTTATTCAGCATTCCCCAGAAATACTACTTTTGTACCAGAAATTACCTGTAATAGAAGTTATGCCTATCAGCATTCCTGGTGTAATGAAAGACATCCCCATGAGACAGTTGAATATTTGGTCTGTCATTAGCAATCCATCCTGTAAACTCTTGGCCTGAATGAGAAAACCTAAAAAAAAAAAGTCTTTTCCAATGTAGTCACTGTCATTGATTTAAGACAAGAGGATGGCTGTTCTGTGCAACACCACTTTTCTTTCTCTTCTTTCCAAACATAATATTGATCAATTTTCAGCTTTATGTGATGAGTTACGTCCTACTACTTGTTACGGTATTTGTTTTTATAGTACAATTTTTTCAAAAGCCAATTTAAACTTTTAAAATGTCATTAATATTAATTGAATACTACCCACTTTAATAATATTTAGCTATGTACTCACATGATGTCAGTGAAATTATATTAATGGAACATTAATTTAGAGAGCAGTCCTACAAGAAGCTGAGCATTCTGACTCTTTGCCAGTTAAACATTTAAATGTTTGCTTAACCTTTACCATGAATAGTCCTATTGCTTTAGTGTGACTGATGTGTGTGTTTAAGGCTTTCCTGGGTCAGACACAGATTACTCAGCATCTCCTTGGAGGCAGCTCTTAGTCCAGTGATGCGTCGGGCTGCTCTAAATACTGGATGCTAGGCCACATTCTTTTTTACTGGAAGTTTGACACAGCTCCACTGAAACCGGTGGAGTTGTGCCAATACACACAAGCAGAGAATTTGGCCTGCTGGGAGTTTCATGAAAATTACACAGGGGAAAAAAAAAAAAATTGTCATCTGCCAGACTGACTTTGAATATGGTATGGTCTACATTCCTTTCCAAACAAGGTGGTTTGACTGTTTCCTTCATCATGAGTGTGTTCTTTGTTACATACAGCGTAGTCTTCCTTGAAAACAGCTGGAAGATAAAAATAGAGACTAATAGTGGTATATTAAGTATAATCTGACTTTTCTCCAGTACAGCAGCAAGTCTAATTGAATCGATGTCATAAATCAATAGTTTTTTTCTTTATAAACAATGGCTTCATGTGTAAAAAAATAAATTACATGTATTTTTATAGGAAAATGTATCAGGATTACATAACCCAGTATAAAGAGATTTTGAAGCAACACCGTGAAAAGTATGCAGAAACTCCTCTTGCACAGGAGCATTACAAAAAAAAGAAAGAACTTGAAGAAATTCGAAACAGAGTTTTGAAACGGTCTGAAAAATATAAATTCAATGAAGATGCTTGCTTGGATATTCTGGGTACTACTATTATCTGTTATCAATGCTTTTAGAATAGAGCCTATTGGTAGTGCACTGCGCAATAAACACACTGTACAGATATCCTCTAATTAACTTTCCACAATTTCTCTTAAGCTAATAAAAAGGTCTTCTTTTTGTTACACCATTTTTAGGAAAAAATTCTGTATCAAACTGAGACTTTGAGCAAAAATTTAGAGTATATATGCTAATTTTCATTCCTCCAATGCATGAATGTAATGGGGAGAGGTTTGCAATTGGGCTTCTTGGGGTAAAAAGTCCTGTCCTAAAATTACTTTAGAACTAGCCTTTAAAAATTTTAAATTTATTTTTCATATATTTTTAATGCCATTACTCTCTGTTATACTGCTATTTCTGTTATGTATAACAAGTAAAAATAAGTGCTTCGGATCTATTTAATTTATCTTGTATTTGTAAAGATAGTTGTAAAGAGATTTGTATGGATTTGTGAATTAATGATCTGAAATTAAATTTTATTTCTGCAGATCCTGTTCCTTTTAAATCCGTAAATGACTGGGCTTTACAGATGTATCCTTGACTTGTAGTGCTTATGCAGTTTACAGAGAAGAAATTTTATATTTACCTTTTACATCTTTCTGCTGAAAAATCTAGTAATTATTTATACATGTATGTTTAGAGTGGCAGCACTGGCATTTCTCTATGGGAAAAGTGAAGGTCAGTACTCTTCAGTTTAGATTTATGGGAGCATTTTGAGGAAGGAAAATCAAATTTCACTTCATGATGTATCAGTCAAAATGCTTCATTAAGAAGGAGAAGCTTAAATGAAATTAGATTTGAAAACTTATCTAAGAAACATAGGTTTGTCAGAGCTTTCTGTTCTTCTAGCATTTGTCCTTATGGCATAGAGGTGTGAGGGATTTGATAGTATCCCTTGCTTGAAAAAAGTAATGTTGCAATATATATTCCATAACATGAAGTGCTATTTCGAGGCAAAAAACACAGGATATGTTAAAACTTGCTGCAGCTGCTGAGCAAGAATCCATTAAACTACAAAAAGAAGCAGAGGAATTAGAAATGAAAATTGATTATTTAAAAAAGGTAACTGTATTTCAATTTTTATCTAAATGCAATTTATATATATATTTATATATACCACCATTATATTGTCTGAAACATAAAAAATGAAGTGTTTTTTGAAGCACACAGACTAACAGGATGATTCCAGTATTAGTAATTATGTTTCTATAGCATCACATAAATTTTTTTAGAGAAGAGGGGTCCATGAATGCAAAGGCTCTTAAAGCTTGCTTTCTATTGACCTCAGTTTACATCATCATTTCCATCAAGGCACTGTGGCACAGTAACTTTTGTGCTAGCTCAAGAGGGCCAGAGAATACACTTCAAAATATAGCAGGGCCATTCACTGGTGAGCCCCAGGGCTTGAGTATATAGCCTTCACAGGTCCTACAGGCTTTTAGGGTTTTGTTAATATGCATATATTTAAGTAAATATGCTTTACAATAAGAATAATGTAAATGCCTTTTTTATTTTTTCTTTCAAATAAATGTGTGGGTAAATAATACTCAGAGGTAAAACTGGTTGATTCTAGACAGGAGATGAGTACAGTTCCACTGAGTAGCAGTAGTACTATTTCCAAATAGATAGTCTTCCAATAAAAGGAGTTTGTCAGGACAGCATTTTGACCCACTCCTCTGCTAGGAGGTAAAAGGCCTTTCCTAGGCCTGAATAGCCCAGTAGGCCAATCCTGTAAAGAGTTTGGTAAGTTTTTACAATATTACACCTTCTACCTCTCTGGACCAGACAATCAAGGACTCCATTTACTGCTGTGTCAGCCGTATCCACTTCAGCCAGCCTTACGCTGATAGAAGCATACTGTGCACAGGTGTGTTTTCTATTTATGTTTTGTGATACTGTTTGACACTCATAGTTACAGACTAAAATTCCTAATATGCTATGTGCAGTGTAAACACACAGTAAGAAGGGATACGGTGAATTTATTTATAACTGTTAAGGAGACCGTGTAAGCAGCTCCTTGTTCTGAACAGGTGTGTAGATTCTGTGCTCAAAAACTTCTGTATTTATTCCAGTTGCTGTGGTTGGTCCAACAAAAAATATTGCCTCTTTTTAACCTTTTTCTGCTTATTTCTTCAGACCATCTTGGCTACAAAAGCTCTGGTACTGTGCACTGTTTCATTTGGTTTAGCAAACATTTGCAGCACATAGCTATAATTTTTCAAGGTTTTTTTTTAAATGTTATTTGTTTATCTTTTAAGACATTTGAAGAGACTACAGAAGATCAAAATAATTCTGAAATGATTGAAGGAAAAAATCAGAAAATTCTAGAGAAGCCAAAGGAGTTTAAAGAAAGGTAGACTTAGAAATATTTTGTTTCCCTTGCTTTCATCCAGAGTACTATCTCAGCATTTACACAAAGACTGCCACAAAACACAAATTGTTGCTAAATAATGACTGGCAGATTCTCTAACCCCTATCATGTGATTTAATTACATAATTTTAAAATATTTATATTTCTTGGGGTTAAGATGGCGGTGAATTTTGACTCTTGGAAGCTAAATGTATCTGGAAACATACTGTTCAAAAGTATTTTGTAGAAACTTTTGCTTCTCACAGCTACTGCTGATCTACGTGAATAGCTTTACAAGTTTTGAATACAACTACAGTGACTGTGCAGTCAGAGATAAAATACATTAACTCTACTAAATGCATATTTGGATAAAACGAGTCAGGGTTCCACATGTCATTTGTCCTCAGCTCTGAACTACTTAAGAAATTTAACTCTTAATTTAGTTCTTAAAAACAAGCATGAGTGAAAGTTTCATAGACGAGATTAATGGCTTAGTAAATTAGTCAGTGGTCATTTACAACTGGGACTCACTTTAATTTGAGCTCAATTACAGTGACTGAAAGTCACTACCCGGACTATCCTGAACTTATCTGGAGTCCTTGTGAATGTTGAAACACCACCCTTAGAGATGAGGCTTTTAGACCACAGTCCATTTTAAGCTGAAAATATGTCCAAGAGAGTTTGTCAAAGTGATTTTACATGATAGTATACTCGAAAAAGAAGGCTTTTCAGGGCTTTAAATATGGATTTAGTGGACAGTATCTATAGAAATGTGTCAGTTTAATCATCCCTAAGATCCTCTCCACAAGGGCATTTTAGCACTTTAATATCTTCTTACAGGTCTATCATCAGATTATTTTTTTTTTTTTTGTGGTTTAAGTCCTTACACCTGTTCTAACTTCTTACATAAGCTTTTTGTAATTGGCAAGACCTCAGAAACATAGGGAAGCAAGAAATCCACTTAGTTTTCAGAGTAAATAAAAAAAAGGAAGTACTCCCTTTGAATTTCAAAGAAACCCCTGTATGTGCAGTCTGCAGAAAGCAAAATGTCAACTGAAGACCTGTTATAAAAGGCAGAGATCTATGCTGTGTTCATGGAGATGTAAGAAGCACTCAGTCAGGCTCCTCAGGGAAAGGAATTCAGAGGGTGCAGTGCTAGACCTGCCATTTGTGTGTTTACCTCCATGTCATGGAGTCTTCAGGTGCTTGTACCTTCACCTGAAGTTGTGTCTTGATTGCATACAAGTAGATCTTTTTGGTGCTCTTGCTGAAGCAATCATTCCTTGGCTTGCGTCATAGTTATAAGATGTTGTAAACATTTTACACTATCCTAACTCATCCTGCCTTTTAACCTCCATGTATACATATACGTGCTATAGCATATGATATCAGACCATAACCTGATTATTAATTAATATGTTTTTCCCAGAGTAAATTTTAAAGCTTATCTATATCAAAGGTACCCATAACATAAAGGCTTGTAGAAAGCATGGCATGAAAATTGTTTTTAAAAATTCCTATTTGGCACTAGGGTGTTAAAAAAAGTCTTCACTAGAAAGCATAAAGCATCTGATTAAGTAACTGCTGATGTTGGAAATAGGTGTATTATGAATCTGTGATTATAAACTCTGTGAAAAAAACACAAACAGAAAATGTGCTGAGATAATGAGTCGTATGAAGGAAAACCTCTGCAGACTGATACAAAAATATAACAGCAGAATATGGGTAACAATGGCAGTAGTTTTTTTGAGCTGTTCTGCCGCCACTACAAGGCTACTATGGAGCAAATAGAGCTTTGTGAAGAAAAAGAAGATATCTTCATCTTCTGCCACAAAAGAAGAAGAAAAAAAGAGTTGTACTGCGAATCTCTGTGAACTGATGTAGACTAGCGTGAAGAGGAACCAGCAGCATCAAGGGAAAGAACTAAATAGACGAATGAAAGAACTGAGCAGAACAATGTACAAAGTAATACCCATGAAATGCCTTAGAGGGCAACAAGACAAGACACCAACTTGCAAGTTAATGAAGAGGTGCAGATATATGTGTTCTCCTTTGGGCGGAAGAGTGGTAGTGGTAACTGGTCTTTTAAATGTCTTGGAATATTTTAGTTTGAATCACTTATTGATGGCCAGCTAGTCATTGATCAGATTGACTGCCAAACACAGATTCCTCTTCTCATACAAGCTGTTTTCTCTGAGCAGTGGGCTTTCATAATTCACCAGTTACAGAGACAAATATCATAGCTAAAATTTCCAAACCAAGAGTTCTCATCAATCACCGAGTAGGACACAGCTGTCTTTTGGTTTCTCAATTAAAGATGATATTTATTGCATAGAAAGACTGATATCTTGAACTGAGCTTTGGCATATATCATGTTTATTTTCTCTGCTTTTATAAAATCTTCGAGAGAGCTTTAATTCCATTATTCTGCAGTTCTGCTTTTTTTTTTTTTTTTTCAATTTGATTATGTATTAAATCCACCTCTGAATACCTAACATATCTTACATTCCAAGTGAGAGATTTTTGCTAACACTTCTTGTAAAGGATATTCCGTGTCGGATTATTGCAGTTGCAGCTCTTTCTGTATCTTTGCACTGCAAGTGGTTTGTTTTTACTGACCAAAGAAAAACTTTTAAAGTATAATTCTTGGAAACATAAAGCTGTTTCTGGACTTCTAAATGTAAACATCTATGAACAGTCAACCCTGTGCTGACCACAGCCTCATAGGCAATTATTAATTACTAGTTATTATGGCAGCTAGTTATTAAAAGTCCGTCTTGCAAAAGGATTTGCTGGCACGCACCTGATGAGAATACTGAACATGGCTTCAGTAGAGAGTCCTGGTAAATATCACATTAGCAAGTGTGATTCTTCATATGTATAATCAAATACATTTGATTCCTACAGGGAAGATAAAGTCATACTAGTCTTTGAGCTTCATTATGCTACAAAGAAGAAACTACTGCTAAGGAAATGGGATTTTGTTTTGACTTAAAAATATCTGCTTTTTTCTTTGCACTTTAGTAAAAAAAATGTTATCTATTTCGCAGTATGGATCAAGATAAAGGTTTTTTATCTACTCAGATGTCTACTAACAATGAAGTAGAGAAAGATGACAAATGATCTGTCTTGTTGCTGCAATTTGGACTGTGTTGAGCTTCAGTATGCAGTTTGATTTTTCTTTCAATGGTTATTAATTATGTCAGAGAAGTGTGTGGGGTTTTTTTCAGTAGTTTTTTGGAGAGGGAAGGGAGCCAGGTGTATTGTGTATGCATAAAGTTTAACTGCAGGCTCTTTTTGAAGGCTTTGTCACTTAAAAAATACATATCTCAAGAGTTTCTGAGTCCTTTTTGTAACTCTGTCACTGATATATTCTTCTGAATAGATAAGCATTGTAAAAGAATGTTTTATTTTGTGGATAGCAAATTTTTAGAAAAAGAAAAGTTGTAGAAAGTTGTCTGCTAGGCTCTACAGAAGCACACAGAAACTGACTCCAGGAACTTTTAAAAACACAGTTTGGCATCCTAAGTTCCGTAAAAAAAATGGTTTATGGCAATCTAACTCGTGACCTCAGCAGCAGCAGCCTCGTTCAATTCATTCTTGAGTGAAGGTTGTGGTGAGGTAGCCAAATAAGCCATTTTGATCAAAGTGAAGCAGTTTTACCAGGGTTCTGTGCTCAGCTCTGTTTTTATTTCTCCTTGTTTTTGCACTCTCGGCATCTGAATTTAAAGATACACCAGCCATATACACATCTTATTTCCTGTAGTACTCATTCTTGACACAGACAATGTCTGTAATTACTGTAACTAAAAGAAATACTGATTTTTAAAAATCTTTTATTATTCCTGGTTTTATTGGTTGATGTATTGGGTGATACATGGTTTATATAGTTTGTTAGGTCTCAGTCAAGCACAGCACTAGGTGTATATGTAACTTTACAGGTGAAGATTGTCCTTTTCATCAGAGTCATTTGACTGAGGTGCATTCATAGTTTTTATGTGATCACAGTTGTGGATGTGTATTGATTTAATGTATTGTTAGGTCCATATATCTTAATCAGTGCTTCTAGTTTGGTATTTTTTTAGTAATGTTGCTAATTTCACTCCACACTACCTTACCAAGTGCATCCTACATTTTATCTTATTTTTATTTCTGGGAAATTTCAAGAAGAACAAAAAGACTGACTCAATTCTTCATTTATTCTGAATAGCATTGTTTAGTCAGCTATAAACCAGATGTTGTATCTAGAGGCACAGAGGCCCTAATCAGGAATGACAGAGAGAAAAGAAAATAGAACTCATTATTCTAAAAAATGGTAAATGTTCCTGTGCCAAATGGCCACTTTACTCTGCATTGTTCTGCTAACCTTTGTATTTCTACGCTGTGAAAGGCTATTTACCTACGCAGATAATTACCCCACAAGTGAAAACACTTGCTGCAGTTTTCTCTTTTGTGTGTGTATAGTGTGAGTATTCCAGACAATCTCAGAGAGAAAGTGTTTTTAAATGTGAAAATGTGATTTCAGAACTACAATAATGAAGTACTTTGACAAAAGTGTAAAACCCCAAACTACTAATACTTTGATACTGACAAAATTTAAGTCAGCAATGTTCTTATGATCGGCTTATTACTACTTTATGTCTTCTGCTTTCAGTGATATTCTCTGTCTGATATTCTTTAAAGAAAACTCCAATTTTTGACAGCTGTTGGAGCTGAAAGAGGTAGAACCTCCCTGGCAGCATTTATCTCCCTTGAAAACTCCACTTATTTGAAGCAGTTGTGTTTTATGATATCCCTTCTTTTGCAATTGCAAACTTAATTTTTTTAAACTTTATTTTTCTTAGGATATTTGAAGAGAGTGAACATCCATCTTTGCCAAATGAGAAACAGCAACTGTATAAACCATTACATGTCCCATGCATTCCTCGGAAATTAGACCAGCCTGTACAGAGTATTAGATTCTCAATGCAACAAACAGAAACAGGTGCAGTGTGGTTTAATGATCTTTCTGTGAGGATTTTGTATTTTTTTTTGTGTAAATGAATGGAAACCATGAAAACAAGTTTAGTGAACTGCTCTTACTGTGATAGCTGAAGCTAGGCTTTCAATGGAAGTTGGGTACTACCTGTCTTTATATTCTGAAAATCTTCTGTGTCCAATTCCTGTCTTATCTGTGAAATAAGTAACATGACAGGTATACCTGATGCATGGTGTCAGGAAAATCTGAAACATACCTTTAGCACTGTTTGCATAAATACAGTAAATATTAACTGAGTATTGTTTGCAGTAAAATGTTTGATATTTTAATATGTTGTGATAATTTTCTTTTAGCTCTCTATTAACAGGAAAATTTATAAGCCTTGTTCCCAAGTTCAGTTTAACAATGCTATGTTTGGATACTTAATCCTGTTGACAATATTAAGTAATATT